TGATGCTGAAGGAGAACCCCCAGTGACAGAAATACCCAGTATCAGACCAGGAAATTTCTATGACTCGATGTCACATACCAACCTGTAAAAATATACGAACTTGTAATTTACAGGGTTCACCTGGGGGCATGAAGGAATTGGGTGCGCTTATTTTAATGAAAAAAAAGTCCAGGCTGCTTCAGATAATGTATAGAAACAATAAATATAACTGTAGAACTGAGAAAAAAAAAAAAAAAGGAAGAAAAAGCCGTGGAAGTGAGAAAGCGGTGACGAGGAGGACGTGATGAGTTTCCCTGAGGGTTTCCACTGCATTTGGAGCCTGCACGAGCAAGGGGTAGAAACAGCGTGGTAGCGAGCAGCCGAACAGGTTCAGTTCTCTACATGCCTGCATCATCTGTTGGCTTTCTATAAACGAATTTGTACCTCCTCGGCTTGAGGCTGCAGCCTGTAATGCCGTCTTCCAGCTAAATGTTTTGCGTGCTTCGAAAATAGCTATTAAGTGATCTTTCCTGTAGGCTTTTTAGCTGAACATCATCTTCACGGTGAGCTACAAACCTTCTAGCTCCTCTTTCCCATCCCACAAGTAGCCTGGGTGACAATCACAAGACCTGATTCACGTCTCCACTGGATCCCATCTTTGCCTCCACGTATTAGGGCAAGCCCTTAGAATTTTGCCAGGCACTTTTTATACCTGGATTAGCTGGGGTCAGGCAGTAGCTGCCTTTGTGGCCTAGCTGAGGCCAGGCAGACATAAGGCAACAAGTGTTTTTCCAAGCTGGGAGTGTGTCTGGCTGGGTGGGCAGACTGAGAAGGACAGCAAACCTTAAAGATGGGCATGGTCAACACAAGAGTATGAGAAACCAATACGGAGAGGGAGAGGAAAGACAAAGAAGGGGAATACCCCCCTGTTCTGCTAGGAAATAACTCAGTTTAGATGCTGGCATTGAGGTAGAAGTCTCTGATCTCAATGGCATTTGGCCTTGACCAGTTAGTAGGAAACTACACAAAACTGAAGTAAAAGTAGTTTGCTTTGCTGACACAGAAGTGACGCATTGCTCATCTCAGAGCTGCTGATCTGATGTTGTTCTGAGCTGTCATCATCTGTCACAGCAACAGCATTTAAATGAAAGGAAGAAGCAACAAGACAAGGAAAGAAGGATTTCTCTCCTCCTGAGCAGCAAGCTGGATGTGGGAACAGGTGTTTCCAGGTTGGTCCAGGTTATCAAAAGCTTCTCAGGGCTGGTGAGGACTTAACTGCCTCTGTAGCAAGGGCACTGGGCTTCCTTCAGCTGGAGGAGACAAGTGTTTGCAGCAAAGGCCACTGAATCTGATGAACCTGTTGGGTACCTTGGGGATTAGCCATAAAAAATGATCCAAGATCCAGCTGCCCCCTTTTCCTTCAAAATCGAAGTATCTTAATGGAGAAGGATAATTCTTCTACAGGATGAGGACCAAAACTCTGGAGCCCATTAAGAGGGGAGTGGGTATCTGCCTTGCCAGTCCCAGAGCAATTTTGCCTCCCTGCAGCCACCACTGGGGCAGGTGGTGGGGAATGTAGCTCATTGGGGTATGCAATTAGTGGCTCTTGAGCTTGATAGGCACAGTTCCCAACCCCATTTTCCTTGCTGCTGAAATGTTCTCAAAGTTCAGCTAATGAAAATGTCAACCCTGCCCTTGTTCTGGTGAGTAAAAACAAAACCTGGAGTGGGGTATCTGCTTTGGCGTTTAGTTATGGATTGCTCTCCAGTGTGGGAGATATTACTGTTCAGGCAAAAAGCAGATTAAATCCATGAATCACATTTTCTTGAAGCATTTTATGGGCAATGCTCGTTGATTCGAATGCAAATATGATCTAAGACCAGACTGTGGCTTGGGCAAGAGAAGAAAGAGGTGCTGGTGGAGTAATCATTAACAGACACTGCTAATGTGAGATCCTTCATTGTGCTGAACAGGGGTGAGCACCTGTGATCCAGATTCTGGTGTTGGTCATGGTGAGTTACCTGGAGTAATGTGTGAGCTGGTGACACTGGATTTACCTTGTGTATGCAAGCTCAACGTGTGGGCTTGGAAAGCGGTGCCCACCAAGGCCCCTTGAGGCTATATGTGATGAACAGAAGAGGGTAGACTTGAGAAACAGATAACTCAGAGATGAAATGTTCTGTTGTGCGCTGTCATTTGTTTGGCAAGTCTTTCTGGGGCCCACCAGTACCACGCTTGGCAAGGACTGGCTCTTTGTGGTGTAAGCTGGTTTGGTTATGCCAGCTGTATGATTTGATGACTGCTAATAAGCAGAGATGTGCTGAAGTATTCCCCACAGTCTGTGCTTTGCTGTCAACATCCTCATCAGCAATTGGATTAGTTGTAGGGAATGAACAATTACAACATGAGGTAGTGAATCGTGTTAAGACAAATTGATGGGTTTTATTTAATCATATGGTTTCAGTCACATCTTGATAGTATTTTTCCTTTGGAGGGAAATGCATCAGTGCACCAGTCGGTACCAGAACAAATACTAAAAAATGCTTGTTTTAATTGACTAGAGCCTAAAGATAAGGCAAATTAACTCTCTGTACCAAAACAAAATGGGTTAGGCTTTTACTTTAGGTTATGTTGGCTCTGCACGGGCCCTCCATGGCAAGATATGAGGGATAAAGTTTACACTTTTTGTAGTCCAGGGAAGTGTATAACCAAGTTCCTCACAAGGCCTGTCTCGGTGTGGGAGGAAAAATGCAAGTCAGAAAGCTCTGACAAGATGATCTGCCCACCCTGTGGTCTCTAATCCATCAGAGTTCTTGCATCAAAGGTCCTGCAGATGTTTTGCTAAAACAGACTGAGGCATTCAAAGATACAGCAAAAGACTGGGAATCCTTGGCTAAGGTTGCATCAGGAGACAAGAGAGATGCAGAGGGGGAAAGACTGGCTCCTTCTGCTTTACTTATGTCCTACAAAATTTGTCCCAGTAAACATGGAGGAGTATCCCCAAGCTTCATTTTCTTGTGTCTTCCTAAGCCAGTTTTGTCTGAAACACAACCAAACTGCTGCTTGGTGGCCACAGGCTGGTGAGTATGGATCTGCAGAGGGATTAGCACTTGAACCTGCTCTAGCACCTTGTCTTCAAGTGCCATGCAGACCTGGAGGTGTAAAACACTTCACCCTTGACTTGCCGTAGCTGTTTCCCATTGGGAGGACCCATGGACATCAGAGATTGAGCACCATGGGTTGCTCTGCAAGTACCCAGCAAACACAGCAGTTAGGAGGCATCTCCTGATGACTGCGGTGCTGCTCAGCTTGAACAATGGACCAGGGCAGCACAGGGTCCCCATTTATTTACTCAGCCTTTACCTGTCTGTGCAGTATGGTGCATTAGGAACAAGCCAATGGCAGCAAGTATAACCTGCAGTACCAGAGGATGGGGTACATGGATGGCTCATGGTTCTGGGCTTGGAGCTCAACCATGGAGAAACAGTAAGTCTGATTCCACTTCCTCTGGTTTTAATTACCAGGGTAATCGTGGCATCATCTGAGAGCATGAGAAATTATCACCTTAAGAAGTTCTGCTGCTGGTGACACTCACATTTGTTACCCACTGTCTCTCTCAGAGTGGCACTAAGGAGGATTAGTTTGTACTTAAGAGATGTAGTCTGTAATTATGCACAGTTTTGCAAACCATTTGTTTCTGTTAGCTACTCTCTCGTTGTTTCTCTTGCCGGCAGCCGGCTTTCTCTGCGCATCTCCTGTTCCCATATGAACGTGAACATAAAGTGCTCAGGGCTCCCTGGGCTTCTGTGATGGACTGGCCCTGCCTTCTGGCAGAAGGGAGATTTGAGCAGAAGGGACTTGGGTGGAGAGGTTTAGGAGCCAAAAGTTTTGCTGTGATGCCTGTAAATGCTCCAGAAATGTAGGAATCAATGTGCCCAATTGGGCCATGGGCCCATCCGAGCAAGAGTCTTGTGGCAGGTGTGAGCCAGTACCGGGTGTTTTGCACAAAGCCTCTACTATGGATATCTTTCCCACCCATTTCTTCCTCATTCCCATCAGTTTCATAGCTGGTCTCATAGCAGTGTTGTGTTCCCTTCCCTTCATGCCACTCACAAAGATGGGCTATTGGAGGGTCTCAGCAAAGATGCATGGTCTTAATCCTGGCTCTCAGAGGGGGAAGGTCGCACTCACATCCTGCAGTCAGTGAGAAACAGCTTCTTAGAGCAGAGATTATCTCATTGTCTGTGAGACATTTTTAGGCAGGCAAAGAAATATCTTGAATTGCATGGAAAGTCAGCAAGCTCTGAAAACTTTGGTGAGCTCATCACCCAGGTAAACGTATTTTTCAAAACAGTTTGGGTTTTTTTTTCTTTTCTAAAATCTTGAGGTGTTTTCATAGAATCATAGAATGGTTTGGATTGGAGGGGACCTTTAAAGTTCATCTGGTCCAACTCCTGCCATGAGCAGGGACATCCTTAACCAGACCAGGTTGCTCAGAGCCCTGTCCAACCTGGCCTTGAATGCCTCCAGGGATGGGGCATCCACCACCTCTCTGGGCAACCTGAGCCAGGGTCTCACCACTCTCAGTGTAAAACATTTCTTCATTCTGTCTAGTCTAAATCCATCCTCCTTTAGTTTAAATCCATTACCCCTTGTCCTATCGCTACAGGGCCTATTAAAATTTTTGTTCCTTTTCTCTTTATGACAGCCAAACCAAAACAAACTGAAGCAGTTTCCATCAGTATACACTTCAATTTGGAGCCAAAAAAATGCTTTGAACCTAAACTCATGTTTTGCTTCCAATTTTGTTTGAGGAGAAAAACTATTAGTCAAATCCATCATTTTTCTATGTATGGTAACTGACCTGTTCTCTCTTTTTT